CCTAGGCTGGGCGGGGGCGGCCGGGGGCCCATCACCCCTCGAGGGCTGCCAGGGGGCCAGGGTGGGGGGCTGCAGCAAGCTGGGGGGTGGAGGAGGGTCTCCCAGGGCATATTCTGGCGGGCAGGAGGAGTAAGCTGAGGCCCACCCCACCAGCCAGTTTTCAGTTCTGGTGGGTGGGGGAGTGTGGACCCCCCCAGCAGGCAGGTGTGTGGATGGATGCCTCCCGCTGCAGGGCCAGTGGGGAGTGCATACCTGGGGGACCTGCAGGGAGGAAGGGGAAGCTTCCCAGTGGAGGTCCTGGAGCTGCGGCGGAGCATGGACTCTGCAGGCTACCATAGAGGCCTCTCTGTAGGGCGACAGCGTGAAGGGGAATCTGAGGCCCGCACCCAGGCTACCCTGCCAGCCCCCATCAGCCCTGCCACACCTTCCCCTCACTCACCGAGGTGCTCAGTCCCCCTCGGGCCCCAGCCAGGCCACCAGGCAGGTCTGGCCTCCGCCCGTCCGCTGCCAGGTACAGAGGAGGTGGTGTCTTGCTGGCGAGGTGGCTCGGTGAGAAGAGAGGGTGTGCCAGGCCTGGGGAGCAGGACACCCCCAGAGAGAGGGCCGGCGGCCATGTCATCTGAAGTCTGAGCACCAGAGGTGATGCACACAGCCAAGCAGTGCCGGAGCCAAGATCCCCCCTGCCACCCGCCGCCCCCCCGGGACCCCTATCCCTCCTCCCCCAGGGCCTTTGCCTCATGCTCACCTGGGGGCCCCGCTTTGGGGGCTGCCGGTCGGAAGGGGGATGGGCGGCTCTGGGCAGACAGGGCCTCTCCAAGCCCACTGGGGTCACAGCCTGGTGGGGGCAGGGCCCCATATACCATGTCCGGGCTGGGCATAGTGGGGACTGCTGGCTGAGGGCAGAGAGGATGGGATTGGTTGGAAGAATGTGGAAATGAGGGCATCAAGGTCAAGACAGATAATCGCCATGAGTTCAGAGGCCAGCCTCCACCTTCTGGAAGCCCTCACTACTCCTCCCTGTGGCCTAACCCCACATGGCTGGGGGAGCCTGTGTCTGGCTCTGTGGCTCCTCGGCACCACATCCAGAGCTGAGGCTTCTTACCCAGCATGGGGTTGGCACTAAGGAGGCTTCTTACCCAGCATGGGGTTGGCACTAAGGGGGCTTCCCAGGGTGTTTGATAAAGAAATAAAGAATAGAGCCCGGGCTGGTGGTGCAAGCGGTTAAGTGCGCCTGTTCCACTGCGGCAGCCCGGGGTTCACCGGTTCGGATCCTGGGCGCGCACCAACGCACTGCTTGGCAAGCCATGCTGTGGCGGCATCCCATATAAAGTGGAGGAAGATGGGCACAGAGGTTAGCCCAGGGCCAGTCTTCCTCAGCAAAAAAAGAGGAGGATTGGCGGATGTTAGCACAGGGCTGATCTTCCTCACAAAAAATAAATAAATAAAGAAGAAAGGAATTGTCTGCCTGTTGTACTCTTATTCATCCTTCAAAGCCTTAGCTACAATGCCTACTCCTCCAGGAAGCCTTCCCTGCCCACCCAGGCAGAGACCTGCCCCAACTCTAGGCTTCCTGGCCATAGGTCCTTCTCTCAGTCTCAGCCTTGACCACTGGGGCCTAGGAGGTGGGGGGAGGGCCACCCCCATTCATGGCAGGGCAGGAGTCACTTACATAGAGCCGGGGCCGGGGCAAGGCTGGGTCACCCCCGTCACCTGCCAGCCTCCGCAGCTTCTCTCCTGGCCCCTCAGGCCCCTCATCTGGCTCCAGCTCTGGTCCATCGAGGCCCACACCCCTCCGCTTCAGTGTCTGTAGGGAGGGGAGACAACAGAATGGACCCTCCCTCCCTACCCCAGCCAGGGAACCTGGTTTTATGGGAGAGGGGAGAGACCCAGCTCTGTGGCGGGGGCAGAATGCAGGCACAGCCTGCTCCAGCCAAAACCCATTGACCAAAAACCCCAGTGAGTTACCATCTAGTAAGTTCCAAGTGTGTGCAAGGGATGGACTGTCCTGCCCTGGGACCTGAGGGCCAAAGACCCACCCAGGTCACACAGTGGGGGCCTGAGATCCCCCAGGCCTACTCACGCTGTCCTAATGCTCCTCCTGAATATGACTTGGGTACCTTCATTCTGCCCCAACAAGCAGCCTCAGAGCCAGGCATGCACTCGGTGCTTAATAAATGTCAGCAGACTGAGTGCCTGGGGACAAGTTTATAGGCTTTCCTGAGCTGCTTTCCCCCTGGGACCAGTGACCTGCACACTTCTGGACCCCTGCCTCTCCTCTGCCAGCTTCTCCCCACCCTCCTGAAATATTGGGGGTCCCCAGGCACAGTCCTAGCTCCGTGCTGTCTCCAGCCCTGTGGCTTTAGCATTTTGTCCCAGGTGAAGATTCCCGGGTAAAGGGCCAGTGATCTCGCCCATCCTGGGGTGGGTGTGGCCGCTGCATCAGCAAGTGTGGGGGCAGCTCCAACAAACACACTCCCAGACCTCAGAGAGGTCAGCCTGCTTCATGGTGCCTCCTCTTCTCTGTTTCTGTCCTCAGCAAACGGGTGACAGGATTAAATGAGATGAAGTGTGTGAGCAGCACACGTCGAGGCTCTCTTCAGCCCTCGAGGCACAATGGTTGATGTTTTCTATTTCTACTGTCCAGGCGCAGCCCCTGAATTATTACCTGCTTTTACCAGCAGCAAAGCCAGATTGCAACACTCATCTTTTGTGCAAACCAAGATCCCTAGGTTCTGAGCGAGCAGAGCGTGCTGGGCTTCCCAGGGCCGGGGCGGAGGGCCCCAGGGGTACCTCGAGGATGTCGGTGTTGGTGCGGCTCTCGTGGGGCTCACTGTACTCCGTGTACTTCAGGAGCACACGGTCCATGTCCGTGCTGGCGTACTGGAAGAGGCGGTTGGCGCTGTTGAAGATGATGAGAGCGATCTCACAGTCGCAGAGCACGCTCAGCTCGTAGGCTTTCTTCATCAGCCCGAACTTCCGCTTGGTAAATGTCACCTGGACACAGGACCCACAGGCGGGGTGGGAGAAGACAAGGATTTGGGGTGGCGTTGGGGAGGTGGAGGGGCCTAAATGTTCCCTGAGCAAGATTCTGTGCCTTTGCATGCGCTGTTCTTTCTGGCTGTACTGCTCCCTCTCACGGCTCAACCTGGCAAACTCCTATCAATGCTTCAAAACCCAGCCCAAATGTCCTCTCCTTTGGGAAGTTTTCTTTGGCCTCCCAGGCAGAGCCCACACTCCCTCTCTGAGCTTCCCCAGCCCTGTGCCTCCCTCTGGTCCAGCCCTCTGAGTTGGGTGTGTTTGTGTCCAGTTCCATCTCCCCTATGACTGGAAGCTCCTGGCATTAGGGAAGATAAATGAATAAATCTTCATGAAAATGAGTAACTGCTACATCTCAAACTCCTGACATCACATCAATGCTCCTCATTCCCTTGTAGTTCCCAAAAATGGTCAGGCCTTTGCCCAGGCCGGTCCCCTACCAGGAAAACCTTTCCTTCAACCATTGTCCCATCCAGGGAACTCACCTGCCGATTCCTTTGGTCCAGAATGCGTGAGATCTGGATTTTTTTCCTCCCCATCGTCCCAGGCTGGGTGGAGCAACTTTGGTCTGGTGGGAAGGAGAAGAGGACAGAGCAGGTGGGTGGAGAGCGGGGTCAGGCACCCCAGCCTCCCTTCTGTCCTCCGCCTGCCCCTGCCAGGCACTGAGCGGGAGATGATGGGGGAATCAAGGCAGGCCTCCCCCTTGACCAGCCCAGGTTGCTGTAGATGCTTAATGAACACATTTGGACCAAGAGCAAAAGAGCCAGGTACAGATGCCCCTTCCCAGGCTCTAACACAAAAAAACCTGATTACTGTGGGACCTCAGGGGAGCCTGACCCCCCTGAACTCCCCGTCTGTGCAGTGGGGATAATAGTGTTGTACAATGCCCAATGTCTGCTTTTTTTTTTGAGGAAGACTGGCCCTGAGCTGACATCTGTTGCCAATCTTCCTCCTTTTATCCTTTTTTCTCCCCAAAGCCCCAGTAGATAGTTGTATGTCATAGCTGTACATCCTTCTAGTTGCTCTGTGTGGGACGCCGCCTCAGCGTGGCTTGATGAGCGGTGCATAGGTCCGCGCCCAGGATCCAAACTGGCAAACCCGGGCCACCGAAGCGGAGCACGAAAACTTAACGGCTACACCACCGGGCCGCCCCTTGCCCAATGTTGTCAGGAGATAAGATAAGCTAACCTTCGTGAGGCATTCATGTCTCCCCTGCACACAGCAGGTGCCACCTACGCGCTGCTGATATGAATATTGTCTGCAGCCTAACAGCTCTCCACAGGCAAGGTTGGAGAGACATCCTGTGCCTGCACCCAGCAGCGCTCAGTAACCCTGAGCCGCCGACAGCGAGCCTGCTGCACACATCAGACGCCTTTCAACCCATTCAACCCCACACGCCCCCGAAGAGCAAAATTGAGGGCTGTGCTTACAAGAAAACAGACATGAAAAAACTGCATTGAGAGTGGAAAAAAGACTAGAAGGAAATGCTCAAGATGGGAGCCACCGTGGGGTGGAAATTTACGGGTGAGTTTTTTCCCTTTTTTAAAACATTGGGATGCGATTCACACATAACATAAAATTTACCATTCTGAAGTGTACAATTCAGTGGCATTTAGTACATTCACGATGTTGTGCAACCATCTCTTCTATCTAGTCCCAGAACAATCCCATCACCCCAAAAGGAGACCCCCGTCCCCATGAGCAGTCACTCCCCACCCTCCTCCCCCAGCCCCTGACAATCACTAATCTGCTTTCCGTCTCTATGGATTTGCCTGTTCTGGACGTTTTATATAAATGAGATCATACACTGTGTGGCCCCTGGTGTCTTTTTTTCTTTTTGATTATCTCAGTTTTCTAACTTTCCCCCCTCAGTGATCACAGATTATTTCTGTTTGAAACCATTTTTTGGAAAAGAATAACAGAAACCGCCCCCCGTCCCACTTCCCTGGAAAGACCTCAGGCTTGGAGCCCTCAGACCGGGGTTTGGGCCCAGGGTAACTTGGGGGAAATCCCGGACGCTCCTCACGGGGATCTTGGATCTCCCTGGTGGGGTCCCCAAGGGTAAGAATGGGCAGCTCAGGGAGGGCGGCATGTCCCCGAGACATGTGGCATGTTGGGGTCTGGGCCTTCCCCAGCACCCCCATGCGGGGCTCCTCGGAGTGAAGGCCTCTTGCTGCCTGTCCTGCAGCATCCGCCCCACTGCACAAACGGCCACCTGGGGCCCCGAGACCCCCATCCACTCTATGACCACACTTGACCTCCCAGTCCCTCCCGTGTCACAGGTGACTGAGGCCCTGTCACAGGCCTTCCCAGGGTCAAGTGGGCCTGCGCTCGGGTCCCAGCCAGCCCTGACCCTCTGGGCGGTTGTCGGAGCGGGAGGCCTCGCCCTGGGCCTCAGTTTGCTGTTCTGTGAATGGCTGGGTATGAAGTGCAGAGCACCCGGCCCAAGGCCTGGGAATGAGCTCTCAGCAAGTGCAGGGAGATGTGGGTCAGTCTCCAGGAGGAGCCATACCTGCTTCCCAGACCCCACCCCGAGGGGTCTGGGCGGGACCCCCTTCATTCCAGAGTCCCAGGGCCCAGGAGTGTGAGATGCCCCGGCCATCATATGCGGCCCACAGTGTGACTCCAGGTGCTCCCTCCACCCTCTCTGGGCTGGGTCTCTCAGTGGTCACAACTATGCAGAGCCCAGGCCGACAGGAGCCCCCGCCCTGGCCCCCCAGCTCCAGCTTGACTTGCTAAATTTAACCTCCGGGGCTAATTTTAATCCCCGGCCGGAATCGGGCACGTTCCCACGGCTGTTCCCTGTCGGGTCCCTGGGGACAGGAGTGGGGCACTGGCCCGGAGGTCCTGGTGCCAAGATGACTCTGGAAATGTCCCCCACGCCTGGGGTCCCATGGGAACATGGGGCTTGGACAGGACATGAGTCTCTGGGCCTGGAAGATCCGACTCTGGCCCTTTCTCAATCTGTCCCGATTTTAGACAAGGACATCCGGGCTAGGGCAGGGTTCACATAGTGGGGGAACCCCGAGACCCAGAAGGTCAGAGGGGTCTCTTTGAACTGAGACCCAAGAGCTGAGACAGGAAGTGAGTTCCAGGCAGAAGGACTAGCAGGTGCAAAGGCCCTGAGGAGGGACGAGACATAGCAACACGGCTGGAGTGAGGAGGCCAGGGGGAGAGGCTGCCGAGGCAGGGGCTGTGGGTTTTGGTCTAAGAGCGACGAAGAGCCAAGGGAGGGTTTTGAGCAGGGGTTTGATTTATCATTTAAAAACTTGGCCATGGCTGCCATGGGGAGCAGGACTGTTGGGGGCCGGGGTAGAGATGGCAGGAGACTGGAGGGGAGGCCAGGGCTGCGTCCATCTGGGAAGAGCCTGGGAGTGAGGCCCCCTCTCTGCTAGGCCTGCGTCATGCACTTTTACGTCACTGGACTCCAGGGCTCCGTGGGTCCTCCAGAAGCCATCGGATCCTCTGCCATCTCTGGGGCCAGGCCTGACAGGTGTAGATGGGCTCACATAGGGGTTTGACTCTTCTAACCCTTGATGACCCTGGAACCCCGGATCCTCACCCAAGAACCAAAGTCATCCCCTGCTCTGGCTCTTGAAGGGTCTATCCAACACAGCTCTGATCATGCCGCTTCCTGCTCACACACTCTCCACGGCTCCCCACTGCCCTCAGGAAAAAGTTCCAGTCTCCAGCCTGGCATTCGAGACCCTGCCCCAATCAGCCCCTGCCCACCTTTCTCTACCTTCAACGAAATGTCTTCGTCTGGAAAGCCCTTTTGCCCCTTCTTCACCTGGCCAACTCCTTTTCACACTTCAAAACCCAGCTCAAAACATCCATTCCTCCAGGAAGCCCTCCCACAGCCCCCTTGGACATCCACAACCCCCCTTCTTCCCCTCCAGTTCTGACACCATGGGTCTGGGGGTGTGTATATCCAGCTCTGTCTCCCCAGACTGGAAGCCACTCAGGACCAGACACAGGGGTGGCTGGGGAGATGTGGTGAATGGAGCAGGTCCAGAGAGACACGTCTGAACTCCCCAGCTTCCCTCAACAACTTCCTCCCAGACTCCCCCAGCTGACTCCCTACCCAGAAATACACGCGCATGCAAATCCAACCACTCAGCGTTGACCTGTCTCGGGCCCAGGTGTGAAGGGCCAGCCAAGGAACGCGGAGGCGGAAGGCCCAGGGTGTGCATATATATTTGTACTCACATGCAAATCCGCACCCTGAGCCGCAGACAGACCCGGTGGCCCGTTCTCCAGATGTTGGCGTGATCGGAACTGCTGGGGGGAGGTGGCGGCACATGCTGAGTGTGCCAGGCATGAGGGGGGAGGCCGGCGTGGGGGAGGCTGAGGTTTGGGGAGGCCTCTTCTGTGCACACATCTCCCACCCACCCAATGTCCAGCCGGAAAGCAGAGAGCTTGTGGCATCTGCCCAGCAGAGAGATGGGCCCATCGACTGGGGAATGGAGCAGGAAGCATAATCAGGAGAAATCCAAGAGGGCATCTCAGAGGAGGAAGCCAGTAGTTGGGCCCCAATGGAGGGGCTGGATGGGGGCCTGGGCAGATGGCAGGGAAGGTGGACATTTGAAGCCAGGAGTCCAGCAACTCCCACCCCTTTCTCCGCACCCTCACACTTAGCATTTATTAAGTATCAACCGTGTGCCAAGTACTGAGATGAACTGACCTCAGAAGAAGTCAGAAGCTTGAGTAGACCACTGACCACAGGTTAGAAAAGTGACCTGCCGTGAAGAAGACAACGGGCCCAGAGGGTTTTACGGCTGTTTTATCAACCCCTCTACGGACACAGAAGCCCAGTGCTATTTAAACTAACTCAGAGCTTTGAAGTGATGGGAGCTGCCCAAGTCATTTTTATGAAACTCTTGTGTGTCAGAACCCAGGTCCAAAAAGAGAAATATTGACCACAGAATGGGCAATGTTAGGCCGGGATTTCAAGGAAGACCTCTCTGAAGAGGTAACATTTGAGCTGAGACCTGAATGAGGGAGACAGTCAAGGAAGGGAAGAGTCAGTGGTGAAAAGATCTAGAGGAAGGGTGTTGCTGGTGATCAGGAGTTCGGCATTTTGAAAAAATCAAAGAAGTGTGTGTGGCTGGACAGCGTGTCAAGGGGGAGCGGGGAGGAGATGGTGGTGGTAGGACAGTGGGGGTCGGATCACACAGGTCCTTGTGGGCCACAGTGAAGGGTGTGGGCTTTACTCTGAGGGCAATGGGGAGCCATGGAGAGTCTGGGGTTAGGGAGGGTCAGAAGATGATTTTAGTTTTAAAAACCTCCTTGCACTCAGATGTGTTGCTGGTGGGAGGAGGTACAGCCACTCTGGAAAACTGTCTGACATCTACCAAAGATGAACATACGTCCACGCTATGACCCAGTGATTCGTCTCCTCAGTACTTACCCAAGAGAAATGGGTCCATGTTTTACCAAAGGACACAGACATGAACGTTCTCAGCAGCTTCATTCATCATAGCCCCAAACTGGAAATGACCTAAATGCCCTCAATAGGAGAATCAGTAAATACTTTCTGGTAGATTCTATGATGGACTAT